CCGGTACCCATTTAACACCTGGGTTGAGAGGAGTACCGGTAATTGAGGTAAAGCGCCTTACTCAAGGGCACAACACGCATGGCCACGGTGGGGCTTGAAGTTGAACCCACAACCTCTCGATCACGAATCCTGTGCTCCACCGCTAGACCACACGTGCCCCATTGGTCTCCCCCAACTCTCCCTTTCTTGCCGTTGAGAAGGTACTTTTGCACGGAGCCTGTACAATGTACGGTATACATGGGGAGTTATTTCACAATATCAATGAAACACTGCCATTTGCCCCAAGTGCTGTCTATGATTACACACCAACCCTCTTGCAACATCTCTCAAATTAACCTCCAATCTTGGTGCACCTCCAAACCTGTCCCAACATGCGTGTGCCACACCAACTACATGTGACAATCCACCCAGGCCTAACGTCACACACATACGGAAATGCCAAATGCCAGGAATGCCTGCGGTTTGCGGTCATTCCAGAGGTCAGCCCATTCATAAAAGGAAGCCAGTGTTTGTGTGTAGGTGTACATGTAGGTGGTGGAACCGAACTGGAAATGATCATTGACCCCCACACTGTGTACACGCTGTCAGATATGGGTCAGTGATTAGGGCTGTGGGATTTTATATTAACCCTTACTCTCTGAGGGTAGTTTACTGCATGTCAGTTGGTTATGCCAATGCCCTCCAGCTGCAGTTTTTTGGCAGATAACAAGTCTTAACAGTGAAGGCTCCAATTGGCAGGAGTTGGAGGCCCTGGAGGGTGCCTGATACTGACCAGCTGGGGGCACTCACTTTGTTATCAGAGGACTCTCATTGTTCTCTGTGGCATGTATTGGAGTGCCTGTCCAGTTACCCTTGAAATGACATGGCAGATATTGGAGGGCCATGCAAAAAACATAGGAGATTTTCTTGAGGCACATATTGGCATGCATTGGAGGGTCAAGTAGGGTAAGGGTTAATGCATAGCCCCGGTACATGTACATGTACATGTACATGTAGTTGTTGGGGCTATGGGGTTATGTACAATGGATGTTGGGTATTTTTTACAATGTACGGTACTGCACCAGTACATTATTTATACACATTACCGGTATATGAATTATATACATGTTCACATTTATACACATTACCGGTATATGAATTATATACATGTACATGTGAACGTGTTCTACATGTACATGTACATATCCCCCCCCCCCCCCCCCCCCCCCACCACCAACACACAAAGGGAGAACAACAGATCCTTTCAGTCCTCGGAATGTTTGGTCTTTTGTAGGAAACGGTCTTCTGTAGTTAGTTGGTGTGCTTAGTGTATGGGAGAGTGTTAAATTACAGGGACAAAGGGAAACACAGAGCATTGTCCTCGAGAGGACAATGCTTTGTCACAAACTGTAGTTTGTGTCTTGGAAATATGATGTTCATTTATTTGTTTTTCCCCAAGAGATGAAGAAATACAAAATGTTAAAAGAAATTTGAACATTTTTATTAAACATCAAGTACATATGTATACATGTACATGTATACATGTATGTATTGGTGTATGTACTTAATTTCATTCCGACCTGTTGGAGTTAACCATCATTTGTACACATGTATACATTGTACCGTACACTTAATACAGGATCTGAACAAGGATGCGATAGTGCACCTTTTTGCCACAAGCAGGATTTCCCTAATGATATGCACCATCCATGTCCCGACCGGTAGTCATTATGCGCCGTATTTCAATCTGATGGGTTCCACACTGGTACACGTGCACGTGCACATTGTGCTGTACGTGGTCGGTACAATGTGCATGTACCGGTATATACCGGTACATGTATACAATGTACATATGTGCTGTATGTCTGTATGTTTTTGCACTGTATAAAAATAAATGCACAAAGTGTTCATGTTCATAGTGTACGAAATAACGGTATCTACTAAATGTGTGTAAACAATATTTAAAAAAAAAAGTACATTTAAATGTACCGGTACATTGTACACTGGAGGAAAAAATGGACAATTAAATATTGTGTAAACTGATACACCATACACTAGATATACCGTCATGTACATGTTCATATCACGTACATGTACATGGACTCTGTACAATGTATGATGATATGAGTCTGCATGTGAGTACAATGAAGTACCGGTATTTAAAGTCTAGAAGCTACGTGTAATCTTATACACGTATCCATGTAGCGTGAATCATTTTTACCATACGGTATGTGTAAAGTGCCACATTTTGTCCAATAACGTCATCATTCCAGATAGGGTTTCCGACAGCCAGCAACATCCACATGTTTGCCAATAATGCCACGCATTATGCGCTTCTTGCTCAATCTCGGGACGCCCCGGCCACCGTTGCACAGTGACGGCTAGACTCGTCGATGACGAATTGTATCCCCAAATCTTCCCACTTCTTGGACCATTCCAAAACCCTTCCGTTGTAAATTGAACGGTATCGGAAGTGACAGGAAATTAATACCCCTTCCTTCTTAAATGGAAGGATCCTGCTCTCTTGGAGAATTTCTTTTTAAAACTAGTAGACAGCCTGTTGATGAATTCAGAACACACGTTGATGTTGAGAAGCAACGTAGAGCCTTCCACTCCGTGGTAAGCAATATTATTTCTGTGCAGAACTTTGCGTGTACACACAGTCTTCAAGTGGTGTTTTTTTAAGAAGGGGCAGGATACGCACTTTAAAGTTCTTTTGTTTTTTCAATGTTATTATAAAAGAAACAGTAATGACCAGGCAGTAACCACCTATTGGTACATGCAATGTACATTTTGTATGTGTGTACATGTACACATGTTTATTTCCGTCCTAATGTTGCTGCTGTGTAATGAAAAGTATTCAAGATGAGTATACGTATTACATTGTACATAGTGAAGTGGCACATATGTAGTATTATACCTCTTGTTCTTAGAACCACACTTGTCTTAAGATTTCCTCTCTTCATCTGATGCGTTTGCAAACTTCGCCCAAGTCAAGATTGACAATCATGTACCAGTACCGGACTACCAGTGCATTAACGTATTTGTTTGTAAAGTTTGGGATAGTGCTTCGTTTAAGTACAGAACTGAAACTTTTAGTGACATTGTAGCAAAAGCACATTCACAAGCTTTTTACAGGTCTACAACAAGTAGGCCTGTAGTTCACTGTACCGTAAAGTTCACTGTACGTGTACACATGCAAAGTACGGATATGTGTTGTTGCAAACTACACATTTTTTTCCCCCATCATCTGTATCAACACTGTTGATACCGTGTGTGCTCTCATGAGTTAATCACAAGTTGATTGCAAGTAAAGTGAGGGGTCTCTGTGAAGTGAAGCGGGCAAGGCAAAGCCTTGTTCGATATAACCATCAAGTCAATTGAACTTTCCTAGAAGTGCAACATCACTGTTGACTAGTGTGTGTTCCGCATTCCATGTTAACCTCATATTACAAACTGAAATTTAAACTGTTTGTGGTCTTAATTATAGCCTTGAAAAACTGTTGCGCCAGGTCTTGTGTATGAAAACATCATGCTGTGTCTTAAGGTGCATGTATTGTGTTCTACACAAAAAAGATGCACATTATGTTCACGGTACAGTGTACATGCTTTAAATGTATTGTGCTAACCAGAGACCACATGATTGTGTGCATTTACGGAACATGATGCATGTACGTAGTGTCAATTCTCTGAAATTACAATTCTGCTCTACTACTGTCATGTATTAACTCTTGTGCCTATCAAAAGAAAACAGGGGACATTCAGTCACACGTAGCGGTATGATGTACCGGTACTTCATGTTTGGTACATCCAGTGCATGGTAAAAAAGTACAAAAGTTTTGGTATAATTGATAAAATGCAAAAAAGTCACGTCTGATACAATGAATAGTTTGATTAACCTTGACTTGTTTTGACCCAGTCACAGGAATCTCGTATTATAACACATCAAAAATGGTAAAAAAAAAATCAAATACAAAGTTCACTTGACGTTGATCTGAAAGTTCAGTGCCGTCATATCATTATCAGCATTGAGTGATTCATTTCGCAGAACAGAGAATTAAAAGGTCTGATGATAAATCCATACCAGCAGTTTTTTGTTTTCATTTCACGCTTTCACACGAATTGGCTTAAGTTGTACTTGGAGTATTGGATGGAGGCTCGTAAACCTTGATGGGCTCACAAGAATCTTGTGACAGCCATTTTGCCTATAGAGATACATTCTTTGTCACCCAACAACACATCTATGCTCACGTGTACATGTACAATGTACATGTACATGGTCATTCACCTGAACAGAAACGTTGTCTGTCTTTGGTAGTGCCAAAAGTGGAATTGGCAATGAACATCGTGAAGACTTCTGGAAAGGTAATCTGACCAGCAAAGTGCATTGCACACGACATGCTTTTGATTCAAAACTTCAGAAGCACGATTTGTTCTTAAAGCTATAGTCCATCATTTGTAATTAGTGCATTTTGTTCGTTTGAAGCAACAAAAGTGTTCAAAATCCAATGACGGATACTGACCAACTTATACTTGATGAAGTTTCAGCTCAGCTTCAGCTTCATATTCCGAGAAAAACAGCATTCTAGGATCTCAATTTCAAATCAAAATTTGCTAAATCATGTTTCGAATTGTTTTGAATTGCAGCTTTACGCGATGTTGCGCACTGATCCGACGAATTATAGCAACTGCGCGCGCCTGTGCGTCGTTCCAATGCTTGTGCGCGTTGCTCCGAATAACAAAACGAACTACTAATTTAAATTTTCCTACGGTGCTTCTTTAAAGACGCACCGTTGGAAATGCCTTCTTTCGTTGATTTCTTCAAAATGAGAGCTTGCCAGAAAGGATAATTTCACAGGAAAATTAGTCCCCTTACTATCTTTCAACCAGTATGTTTTTCAACAATAATTACGCCAGTTACTATTTTGGATAGCTGCAAATGATGGACTCGGGCTTTAAAGACGTTGACATTATCTTAATTAACAATTGTGTTTACTATTTGTTGTTTTTTTGGCCTACAGATGAGCGACAGTGTCACAAAGCAGTACATAGAGGATTACTGCATCAACAGAATACGACGGGGAAATATCGACCTGGAGAGCTACCAACATGTGAGCCAAGAGCCCTTCAACACGGTGGCCAGAAGAATGCGGGAAATAGGTTGGTTGAGGACACTGTACATGGTTGGACTTGGTGTGGTCCATGGGGTTTAAATGCACACCTGCCCAGAGGGTGTACAAAACCCATGGACCATATCCCATTTGCACAAGTTTTCAAGTAATTTTTTTTACAAGTGCATGCAGTATATTCTGTGAATGGCAATCAAGTTTCATTCTTCACTGAACAATACCAAATACCTTTACTGCACTTTTACATGATGTATACATGTCCTGTCAGTTTTTTTGTACAAACTCCCCCTCCCCCCCCCCCAACAATATGAATCCGGGAACTTGAGGCCTTATCAGTTGTCACGCTATCCAAAATCTCCACGTTGGACCTGAATCAGTTCCCGAGATTCGGGGAACCCCCTTTTCACTGAACAAGAAATCAACACAACTTCTACAGGGGTAAAATTCAACTCTGTTCAGGACCAGGTTTCGGAGCCTCTCTCCCCTTGTAGAAACCCGAAACCTACAGCCAACCCACGTTCAAACAAGTACGAGTGTGAATGGTATGCCTTGTTGATCTGCATTGACTATGGCCCAGTTGGTGTTGATTTCAAAATGGGTAGGGACAGGATCAAATTTCACTTTTATCCTTAATTTTTAAGTAAGATTTGAGGCTTTGCATGGTGGAGATACTAATGAATGAAAGGTTTGCGGAAGCACCATGTGGGAATAATTTCTCAACTAAATTTCTCTAAGTTGAGAAATTATTCCCACATGGTGCTTCCGCTAACCTTTCATTCATCCTTAATTTTTTTTAAAAACTTCTTGGCTTAGGGAAGCCTGACAATGTTCAGTTAAAATGTAACACTTAGTCTAAGGGTCAAATTAGGTTTTGCCCTTCACCAACGTTTAAACACTGTATACTCAGTGTGTTACCTGTCGAGTGAAAGTTGGAAAAAATCACTCGGGTGGGACTCGAACCCATGACCTCCTGCTTTCGAGTGCAGATGTCAAATTCCATCTTATAATAGTCTAAGGGTGTTTGGCTTGATACGTGCACATGCACCGGTAAGTAAACACTGGGATGGGAAGCTAAGAACTGTCTTGCCCTGAACTTGTGAGAAGGCTGCTACAAGTACAAGTATGTACCGTATGTGAGACTTGAAAGAACAGTCGGACCTTTTCAGGCGGCATATTTTGAAAAGGCATGCATTATACTGGTACTTGAATTGAGGCATGTTACATGTACATGTGTATCTTGCGTACTGTAGGGAATTCTTGGAGAATGATGCCAAGTATAGGATTTTGCTTAAGATAATCCAGTTCTTTTTGTTGAGTTGTTGAACAAACACCTTGAGTTGAACATCAGAGCAAAAAAAGTTTAAGCTGCAGAAATAATATTTTTTTTTGGCCATGTTGTTACAACTACAAGTCAGGAGCTGTATTCGAATACATTGCACTGTTTTGTAGTCCCTGGAAATGATCTGTGCAGTGTGTGGGTAGTTTCTTTTCATTTTAACGGTTTTTTTTTCCCCGAGATGAGCTGAAATACGTCACGCATGTCTAGACATGATTCAATTTTGATCCTTGTCTGTGAAATTATAAACCTAAACTCTTTGTGGTGCCTGAAGCTTGCATATTGTTGATGTCAAAATGTAGTTTCAAATAGTGTGTCCGCAGTTTTTAGGACAAAAATAATTTGGCATTGCTCTGGCTAAAAGTAAAAAGGTCTAAACTACAGCACCAGCTGCAGATTTGAACTTGTCAAGTGATAAGGGGTGAGATGTTTCAGGATTTGTACTGATTTCAGGATTTTTTGTCAGGACTTTTCCCTGATTTCACAATTTTTTAAGAATCCCTTTTTAAATCTGGAATACCCTGAATTATTACATGTACCATAAAGGTGTTTTTTTTTTCTATAACAGTAAGAAAGTGGTATTTTAGGGGTACCGGTACCTTTATGCACATTTTTTCCTTATGAGTTTTACTTTGCTTAACATTATTGAAACCAGTTTAAAATTGTTTGGGCATACCCCTGGTGAAAAAATGGAATAAATAAAGAAAGAAATACCGGTACAGTTTGCATACATACATGTAAATAAATTTATACCAACATACATAAACCATAGACCATGTACATGTACATACATGTATAATACATGTACATTTTTCTTGGGCCCTAGGTACCCTCAAACCCTCTGCTGATTATTTCATGGATTTTTCATTTTCTCCCAATCTCACCCCTGAATTAATTGTGGCAAGAGGTTGTGTTTTTTTTTTTTTGAGGGGGGTTATGCCGTTAAGGGTAAATTTCCAAGCTGCAAAGCACATGCACAGTAATGTACTTTTCACGCAACTGTTTGACCCGTTTATTTGCATGCAGTATGGTGCAAGCTCTTTTTTTTCCGAGTGGAAGGCAAGTGCATGCACGATATTTTGAGTTAATGTAGGAAGAGATGCACAGTATGCCTGTTACAGTGTTAAAACATGCACATGTACAATGTATGTACATGGTATGCGCACTAGATGTACAAGCACTGTACAGTACATTAGTACGTGCACGCAGTCGTATATCGACCTCCCACCGTGGACGTTCTATTGTCCCTCTTTTGTTTGTACTCTAACTTTTGTAGGAAGACTCCCATACATGTATGTTTTGTTCACGATCCCATTTGCGGACTTATGCTGGGAATCGCGGACGATATTGTTCTCTTTAGTTTTCCGTCATTTTCGTCCACGGTTTAAATGCCTGAACACGCCCACAAGTGCATGTACTGTATCAGGACAATAAATACATACCGGTACAAAGCTCCTGGGAAGTTGGGAATCGGGCATTAGCCATGCATACATGTATGTGCCTGGCACGTCATCATTGACCCCAAAAAACAACAACATGCTCTTTCTTATATTGGGACCGCTACATCTCGCAGTGGGTATTGACAAAAAAAGGAAGTGTTTTCGTGTATTTCAGTTGTCTGGAAGATTTTAATCGCATTTTGAGGAGGCTGCAGGGACCTCCACAGGCTATGTAGAGTGAGAACTACGGTAGTACCCAAGAGACAGTTTGGCAACACTTCTTTTTGACTTTCTTTGCAAAAAATAAAAGTGAAACGTTATTTTTTAGACTTTGGAAAACATGTTTTTGTCACTCACTTCTGATATATACATACGTAAATACTCGTAGTAGACTCACTAGACTGAAGTTAATGAACTGTCTCTGTTTTGGCTGCAGGTGTGAAATTGATCTTGTTATTGAAGGATTGGTCTCCCTCTATTTCGTGTTCAAACGATGGCTTTCTTGGCTGTCGAGCTACATCCCGAAATAATTTTAGGGATATTATGACATAAAACTTGACGTCTGTACGTAGGTGTAGATGGGCAAGGTTATTGGGGGTCCACCCTGCCTTACGGCAGACTGATATGTATAGTTAGGCATTCCTTTCAGGAACTTCTTCTTTTCTTTTCTGTTTGAGAGGGGCAAGGGCTTTCCTGGACACTACTTTTACAAAATGTTGGACTTCAAATTTTTTAGGAGCTCACAGACTGCTACCGGTAACATTAGAAGTAATGTCACTAATGTGACAATTGACCTGCCGCTCGCTGGCACGTAGTCACATCCCTTTAGACAATCCTATGGAATTTTGTACATTAGATTTGGCACGTTCTGCGTTCTTGTATAATATCATGTAATTGGACAATATTTCACAAGCTGCGTTGACGCGATTCTACCGTGATAGCTGAATTTTCTCCAGTGAAATTCTATACCAGGTCATGCCTAGTGTTTGGGATGGTTTTTGGACCAACACCCATTTCATGATATGAGTCACGGAAAAAAAAGGGGAAAACATCAGTTGTGAATCAGGGTATTTAAATATCTGAAAAGCCACATGTGCTCATGTATGGTCAATATTGTTTTTCAATTTCATTATTTGACTGACATGTAAGCCTACGGTTGTGTTTTTTTAAAGGAAAAAGTCTTTCAAGGTACATACATGTACGTATGCATGTATCGCAGGCGCACAAATGTAAACTGAGACAAAGTGTAATTCTAGAAACACTGCCATAGTTTGATGCATTATCATGTCGAAATTGTCTAGACATGTTGTATAAAAAATTTATAATTGTCTGCACTTCAATTCTCAACCTTTCACCAACCAAACACATTGCTGGGCAAATGCCAAAAAAAAAACGGCATTGCATTGCAAAGTTGCAACATATGTTCACTCTAGAGACTTTTCTCTGGTATTTTTTTTTTTAGATGAGTCGGTTAACGTCAGTTTTTTTGCTGTATTACAAATGCAACTTTACAAATTGCTAAAATGTGACAGTTCCATTGGGAAATAACCCTTAACTCATGATGTACTGTACAGGTACATGTATGTAACGAACACAAACTTTTCACTCTCTGTCAATGTCTACATTCTGTAATGTCCTGTGCATGTACTGTACATGTACATACATGATGTACATGTATATTGTGTAAAAAAAACCCAAGAATTGAAGTTGCTTCTTGAACCCTACTCTAGGCATTTTTACTAGGACGCAACCTCAATCCTGCAAAATCCTCCAGCTGCCTCCATGTAAAAATTGCATACAGCCTCAATCCTGCAAAATCCTCCGTTATTTCTTGAATGTGGTCCTTGGAGGGGTGACCACTGCCTCAATCCTGCAAAATCCTCCAGCAATCACTGTCAATATGTTGATGTAGAGTGGAGCCAGTGATATCCTGGAACAGTGTTGAGGATTTCAAGTATTGTAAATGTCCAAATGTATGCACGGCTGACCATAAACAATGCAAGATCCGGCCCAAGACCTTGACACATTGCAGCATCCAAAATCAGCCTAACATTTTTGCCTTAAATACATGTAGTCTCAATCCTGCAAAATCCTCCATTTTGCAAAGAGGATTTTGGAGGAATTTGGAAGGTTAGGGTTAATAAATTGTGGAAATAAAGCATTGTATGTACATGTACATGGGTAGACGATAAGATACAAACAAACCTGATTATAATGTAAATAAGCATGTGCAACATGAATGTCCTACATATGCAATTAGTACCATATTTAATAAGTTTGGCTTCTTATCAAAGCCGAGTTGTCTAGACCTCGGACTTTGAATGTATTGATTTGTGACAATCACTCACAGAGCATCCAGCATCTGTTGTTCTTTCTCTGGGTTGCGTCTGTCAGTCTCGCCTGCAAAACAAATCTTGCATCACCCTCCTCTCTGATTGGGAAAAAGGGGGCAGCTTGGAGACTGGCCAAAACCACAAAGCAAAGTCCCTGCAAATCTCCACCAGGTTTTTCTTTATCTTTTTAGTTTTCTGCTTTTCTCGGAATCCTGGTTTCATCATGGTCAATTTTGTGGCTCCCATTGTGTTTAGTCACGGGTTGTATTCAAAGTGCGCTGATGTCATTGCTAAATTTAGCCTACTGAAGTTAGAAGGGGAACACCAGGGAATGTGTCAGCGTTGCACAAGAAGCCTGGAAGCTTACAACTTGAAACTGATCTGAATACAACTGTGAATACAAATATGCAAATAATTTGAATACTTTACTCAAGTGTTCACATGTGGGTGATTTTCACATGAGGGTGATTTTGTTTTTCTATTACGTGTAAATGTACATTTGTACGTGTATAGAATGAAAGTATAGGATTAAATTTTGTTCAGAGATTGGGCACATGTACGTACGGTACATTTTTCAATAACTTGCACTGTAAAGTACATTAAGGTACAATTGTATAGAATAAAGATTTTTATCCTACATGTGACTCCCTGGGCATTTTTGCAAGGATGTAAACTCAATCCTGCAAAATCCTCAAACTGCCTCCATGTAAAAATAGCATACAGCCTCAATCCTGCAATTGCAAAATCCTCCGTTACTTCTTGAATGTGGTCCTTGGAGGGGCGACCACTGCCTGAATCCTGCAAAAACCTCCGGCAATCACTTTCAATATGTTGAGGCAGAGCCAGTGACATCCTGGAGAAGTGCAGAGGATTTCAAGTATAATCTAGGCCTAAATTTGTGCATGGATAAACAAAAGGTCCGGCCCGAGACCTTGACACAGTGCATCCTCCGAAATCAGCAACACACTTTTGCCATGTACATAGCCTCAATCCTGCAAAATCCTCCATATTGCAAAGAGAAATTTGGAGGATTTTGGAAGGTTAGGGTTAGACTAAAGGTTACAATTTAACTAAAAATTATCAGGCTTCCCTAAGCCAAGAAGTTCCCCCCAAAAATAAGGATTATAAAGTGAAATTTGTAATGACAAAATGTTGGGTATGCTTTGTTAGTGCAACAAATGTAATAAAAATGCATCACTAGAAAAGATATAAATATTGTTTGTCCTGTAAAGCAAAGAAAAGGTAGATTTTCAGTTTTCTTCCCTTGGGGAAAAAAGGAGTTTTGTATCCTGCTGCATCACCCCAACATGTGTCCAAGTACGGCAATCTTAGTTAAAGTTGACTGAACTCAAGAAATTTGATTCGGTCCCTTGATATACATGTATGTGTCTCCTTTTAGTCCGCTTAGTGTCATCGATATCCATTTATAACCAATTTAGAGTCTACTTTTATACTGCCAAGTTTCGCCAACTTTGAAGCTGTGATTGCGATAATGGATGGGGGCTCATTGCCACGTGTGTGATGCTGTCCTGGGAGAGAGGACCTTGTAAAAACAGGATCAGAAAGAGCTGCATTTATACAATATACCATTATAAAAAAAAGGTTATATTTCAGGAGAAGAAAAACACTTGATATGTGTCACCAGATAGCCGTGCTTTGAAGGAAAACAAGAATAGTGGGACTTGAGGAAATTCACGGTTGCTTTGAAAGAAAGTAAGAAAACAAAATATTCCCAAATGGCTGGATGATTGGCCCTTAATGGTGCAATGTCTGAATGAGACTGAATGGCTGTATTCTTTGAAGGCAGGAAGTTCCGGAGGAGTTTTTTTTTTTTTTTTTTTTTTTTTTTTAAGGAGCTCAGATGTGGACAGTAGACTGAGATTTATTTTTGTATACTGCTATTAGGTTACTGAAGTTCAAGTCAGCATCAAAAGCTTCAGGATAAAAACAAAATACATAATGGTCATTAGTTTGTGACATTTCTATGGCTTTTGCAGGGAGTTGGGGTATAGATTTACTCTGGGGGAATTTGGAAATGAAATTTTGGGCAAGTAACAAACATGTTTTGTTGGCACATGTGAGGGAGGGTGATAAACAGCCGTGAGCATAAAAAAAAGCAGAAAATAAATCGGAGCTCCTGAAGCCTACAAACATGTACATGTACACGTACGTACAAATGTACACATATTATTTGTAGATTTTTGCAAGCAATGAAAATAAGGCCCCCCCCCCCCCCCAAAAAAATAGTTCTGCTTTCGATAGCATGGCATTCAAAAATAAGGGAACCGGAACATTTAGGTACCTAGGTAGGGAATTTTTTTTGGGAGGGGGCAATTTTTGTGTGTGTACGATCATATGGAGGTGTTTAGTCAGGGGTAAAAGGTAGAAATTTATGGTTTTGGGTGTTTTTTTCCTTCTCATTTTTCCCATAAAAAAATTAGGGTAGGGGCTGTCAGAATAGGGTAGGTAGGGAAACTGGAAGCAGAACTTTTGTTTTTGTTTTTTGGCCTAACATCCAACTTGATACATGTGTAAATCTTATGGTTATATATTTCAAGCGCATTATAACATGATTTGTTCCTAAGCTCAGATTACATGGTACGTGATGTTAAGGATTGTTGAAGTTTTTTATTAAAATATTCCAAAATATTGCAATATGGAGGATTTTGCAGGATTGAGGCAATATGGCATAATTGTGTGGCTGATTTAGGAGGACGCACTGTGTCAAGGTCTTAGGCCAGACCTTGCGTTGTTTATGCTCGGCCCTGCATACATTTAGGCCTATATTATACTTATTACTTGAAATTCTCCGCACTGCTCCAGGATGTCACTGGCACTGCCTCAATATGTCGACAGTGATTCCCAGAGGATTTTGCAGGATTGAGGCAGTGGTCACCCTTCCAAAGACCACATTCAAGAAATAATGGAGGATTTTGCAGGATTGAGGCTGTATGGCATTTTCACACAGAGGCAGTTGGAGGATTTTGCAGGATTGAGGTTACATCCTAGCAAAAATGCCTAGATGGAGTTAGGGTTAAGTTCAACCACTGTATAGTGGCAACCACTGACGTGTATAGTACATATGCACCGCCAGAGACTCTGGGAAAGCTTATGATTTACAAGTAACTCGTCACCTCCCTCCCCTATGAATATACATTGCCAGATCTTGTTGACACTTCCTGCAGCGTTAACTGGTTCATTTCCAATTTAGACCAAAACATTCAACAATCTGATGCAGATTAAGCAATGGTATTTTCTGTCTCTGTTCTTTGCAGGTGAAGAAATAGAAAGCAGAAATCCCGACTTCTTTGCAGGATGCTGCGAGCAGCTTCACATCAGTGAAACCACAGCGTATGCCAAGTTTAAGGACCTCGCAGATGAGCTGTTTAAGGACCAAGAAAACGGGCAAAGGGGGACATGTGAGTTAACTGTTGTTAAAAAAACAAAAAAACAAACAGGCATTAAAGGTAAAAAAATTAACTACCAAATTATTATGAAATACCTTACTTGACCGTGAGTAAATAATATTCTCAAGCCTCTGTATCATTTTTGGTCGAACCATTGTTTTTCATATACCGCCCCCAATCGACCAAATTTAGTTAGTCCACATTTTGTTTGCAATCGGTTACATGAAGGGGCACAAGCAAGCTGATGTCGTAACCAGACCTGACAATTCCCCGACCTCTGTAAACTGTTTTGTTTCGTCCGAAGCATCAGGTCAGGGAACGACACTTCATAGAAGTGTTTTTTCCTTTTCTTTTTATCTGTCATCCATGAACACAAACCTTTAAACAGGTCAGTGGAACGATATGGGCCATAATGTACTAAGCCCAAAATCCGTCCAGTTTTGAAAATTACAGCAAACGGTATAGGCCTATTACCTTTGAAACCCTCTCAGCACCAACCCTACCTTGCCCAACGCCACAACATGTAACCCTGTGTCAAAAGAAGAAGCCTGCCCAGTGTAAAGAGACGCAGCAGGTCCGAATTCTCAAGACCAAACTGCTTCAGGAGTGTGTGGTTGCCAACACCACCATTGTTCAATGGGACTAGCTCTCATTGTCTCTAGAATGGGCCGTTAATGCACAGGTGTTGATGGCTCAATGCCACGTGGTTGTACAGGCTTTACACCTGTTGCACTATGAAGCATCTGGTAGGGTTAGGGTAATTTATAACCAGAAACTCAGAATTCCATTATATAGGTGCTATGTATTATTGCGAGAATCTCTCATCTGTACAAGTACACGCACATGTAGAACTCATCAAGGCGTTTGTACCAAGTTATATTTTTGAATGGATCCTTTCAAGTGTTTCACACCCGAACAAAATCATTTCTGAAATTATAACTTAGCGGTTAGAAGCAGTTACCAATGATCGACTGTTGCAGAGTCTAGTCAATGGAAAAAGAAATTGGAAAATGAATACCTAAAGTTCGCCTGTGTGAAACCAATATAATTTGGGTCATACTGAGTTGCTCCTAATATTACTGTATTCAGCATGACTCTGTGAAGTTTATACCAGATGTTCATTTGTGTTCTTTGCAGGTATGTCGTGGGGTAGAATAGCAGCCTTCATCACGTTCAGCGGCCGGCTGGCTTTACATTGTGCGTCCAATAACATGGAGTCGTTAGTCCCCAGCGTTATAGGCTGGACCTCCAGATATATTGACACCAAGTTGGTGGTCTGGATGAGCGATCATCAAGGCTGGGTAAGCCAGGTCAATATCATTTTGGCTACGGCTAGCAGTAACACACGTTTCTATGGGAAGTGGCTACAGCCACTTCCATAGGGGCATGTGTAATTGCAAGCCGCAGCCATGTAATTTGGAAGCTGTTTGAGAGTAGAATATCTGAGTGGTGATGGTAAAAACGTAGGGTAAGGGGGACGAACCTGTGTTCACAGGAACGGAGTGCTCATCTCTCCTTCGAAGGCCAGACTCGAGTCCATGAACTGCTGCTGTGGGTGGATCGCCACACCTCCTCCACAGCGAGTCTGTTGCCTTCCCAGCATTGAATAATGCTGGTACCCATTTAACACCTGGGTTGAGAGGAGCTATTGAGGTAAAGCGCCTTACTCAAGGGCACAACACGCATGGCCACGGTGGGGCTCGAACCCACAATCCAACGATCATGGATCCTAGGCTCCACCGTTACACCACTCATGCCTACAATGTGATGGTGTCACAGTTTGTTTGTGGGTATGCTTTCTTATGGGAGCCAGATGGGTATGAACGGACGCTGTCTTGCCAGGCTCCTATAAGAAATGCACACAGTGTTGTGTTCAAGTCCGTCACAAGTCTGGTCACACGTAACAGTGGTTAAACAAACAACAAAGGAATTCCTCTGTCACAGACTATTTCAATGGCTCTGACTAGACTTATGAATGGATGACTTGTGATTAAGTTGTGAGGACTTGTAATGGACTGGACTACAATACTGTTGGGTACGGCTTGCGATTACACAAGTGGCTATGGAAGCGGCTGAAGCAAATTCCCATTGACGTGTGTGTTACTGCTAGCCGTAGCCGAGTAACGCAGACACAGTCCAAGTCAGAATCAGTAGACCTAAGCGGTAATGATGTCATACCGGGTAGTTGATTACAAATTTACATAGGTGTGTGTTTTCTTATGGGAGCCGGTTCGGATGACGGGAAATCGTCCCAACTTGGCGCCAGAGAAATACATGTGTGTAATAAAAAGGTGACGTTGTTACCTCAAAGAGCTAGCAGGAGAAGTTTCGTGGAAGAAGTGAAGTGGTTGTCAACTTCTTACAGTGAACAGTGCATTCTGTTGAAACGTTGCGTTTATCTATTCTCAGAGCCATATATGTATGCTCACAAACGAGGTGTATGGTTCTGCTGTGAATATACAAATGTGATGTGATCAAGCTACATGAGTCGTTTGTCGGGAATTTTCATTTGGAGATACAATCCAAAATAGGGCCACTTCATCACATCACTTCATCACATCTCTTGGTGTTCCGACTTCCATAATTTTTGAACTAAAGATGGTACCGGCATGCAGGTTTCACAGCAGTAATGCTGAGATTGTGCTCTTTTCAAATCTGTAATAATTTTTTTTTGACCGGGGTCGACAAACGACTCATTTAGCTTGATCGCATCACATATATTGATTGAATCATTTGTTCATGTGCAGCTCATTTCGCTTCATTCGTTGTCTATCTTCACAATTGATGTGGGGCTCAATCACAGTGGTCAGTCACCCTACCGGTACATTGCAACTTTTACTCCTAATTTACTCGTACCAATTGAACTATCCATTTTGCTTAAATTACAGTTACTTCCTTTCAGATACATTTTGCAGCAAAACAGGATGGTCATTAGGGACTGTGAAAGGACAAATAAATCCAAAGACATTATTTGCAAGAATTGAGTGTTTCATAAGTGAACATAATGATGAGGCATGCTCATTGCTGCAACATTCATTTCCATTAATTTCATTGCCTGGATTAAAGCTTTCTAAATCCCAAAAAAATCCAGACACTGGAGATAGCGGTGGGATTTAAATCCAGATTTTTTAAAACTCAGTTGGTATTCCACTATTCAGTGTCAATTTTGGAAACTGGATATTCGAAATATTCCATTTTTTGTGACACAGACTTAAAAAACCAACTGGAACATCCCCCAATTTGCTCCATGGTCTTTGATTGTAACTGCATTCACTTGCTAGTGGTTTTCATGGTATAAAAATAGCCTGCTGAGTCGACTTGTCAGAGAGTTCCCACAGATTTTTTTTTTTCAACATAACAGCTCTGGAGTGTTTTTGTAAAGGCCCAGTGGTCATTGAATCCTGCAAACTATACCCAGTCATTGGGAGGGCATTGCATGTGGCACCTCACTCGTCATTGTTTGTTGGTGTGACTTGTAGATGGATGGGAACTTCCGGTGAAATCGGAGTAACAGTTATTGGGTTCAAAAAAAATGAGGATAACTGGATTTTGAAATCGCTGATTTCTCCTGCCACTAATTGAAGAAAACCAAATCAAATTAGCCCAAGAGTAGAATCTGAAATAGTTTCACCGTTGCTGCGTCATTCAGTGTGGTAATTTTTTTGGGAAGGTTTCTGTTTTTACATGTAATCGACTGTTTGTTGTAAATTCACTGCCGACAAACCTTTATCTTGCACTGTGAGTTACATACATACAAAACAGATAGACCAAACAACAAGGCGGCAGGAATATAAAATCCAATAATACACAGGCTTCCCAGCCACTCTAAAAATCAAGGAAAATCTTAAAATTTGTTTCCGTTATTCCAGTCAGAGAAAACTTGGGGAATAGGGGGGGGGGGGGGGGGGAAATTGTGGAAAACTCAAGGAATTTGACAGTCACTCAAAAGGGAAGGTTTTTGTTGCCAGTTTGGCATCTTGTGCAATGTGTTCAAGTTGTGTGAGGAAACAATGGCTAGAAGTGGAGAAAGAAGGCCATCGCTTGTCAACAAGTTGCTTGTGTATTATCAATATCGTGGTTGCTTTACTACAACCACCTCTTGACTTCCCAGCAACCTTGTTAAAGTAAACACATTTCTCATGGTTTTCTGGAAATTTCTCGGGGAAATGTCAGGCAAAACTCAGGGGATTTTGTTTTCATAAAGTGCTGGGAAACCTGATATAACGTCAAAACTTTTGAGTGTTAACACTTGGTTTGGACAAACAAATTTCCAAGTCATGATTCTAAAAAAAAACAGAGATGATGCCGAAGCTGGAGACGAAGTCAGAATTTGGGAAATGGCCATAAATTGCTCCACCAAGACATTCCACATACTTCCCAATGTTGTCAGTGATTTGTCTACCCATTCAGAACTCGTGTATGTTTACGCAGCCCAGCCCCCATCTGCATGTTCTTCACATGAATCAGTCGAGCATGAGTTTGCGATTAAGACGTTGCTATTCCACCAATGCAACAGATGTCGTAAATTGCAGTATTCCTGGCATAGCCCTCTCTGTAGTCAATTCCCGATCCTTGAAGAATATTTCAAAACTGTACATCAAAACAAAATCCTGTCCAAATACGGTGCTCTTCAAAACTTTCGTTATTTCTTGTTTTATTTTTCTTCTTTTTAAATTTTTTTTTTTTTAACTTTAAAAAAATGCTAATGTACTGGCATATGGTGTCTTCCTTTGCAGTTTTTGATACAGGAGATTTCCTGAATCCTACAGAATTCACCATTGGGCACATTTTCAACTTTTTATTTTTAAAGTCTGTCAGAAAGTACTGTAAAAGTATCAGTAGTTTGGCTTTTTCCTCTTAAATCCTGTGAAACGTTTTGGCACAAATCCAACAAGAGGTCCTCTCTTTGTCCCATAGGTAACGCCATGTTTTTGTTTAATTACACAATCATCACAAAGACTTATAACATCAAAAGTCTTGTGGGTATTCTCCTTGCAGATGCCCAACAGTAATAAATAACACAGAAATCCATGAATATCTGAAAGGATTAAACTTTTGTTACCTATGGGACATAGCGTGCACAAATCCTTACCCTTTGATGGATCTGGATTTTAGTTTGGTTAAGTTGAAAACAGTGTTCTACCCAAAAAGGCCAGTGCGAACACAGCTTTAGTCTGCAGAGGGAACAATTTGTCATTGAAAATTTTTTCTTTTCATTGACAGTTAAAACGTGAGAAAGTGCAGTTTGTGTGAAGTGTGACCAATGTTTATTGAAGAGGAAGTGTTTTTATAAGGGTGCGCCTGTGATGTGCCTGTGATGTGTTTATTTGCTCGTGTAATGCTATCGGTCTGGTCTGGTATGCATTGAGGGCATTTACGGATTCCTTGGACGTTTCCCGATCCGTGAGTTACGTGCTGAGAATGTTCTTGACATGTCTGACACTAAACTGTTATTTTTTTCCAAGTTTTTTTTTTTTTCATTCTCATTTTTCTTTATAAGTTTCTTCTTGTTATCAGTTTACATTGTACATGTATGTTGAGTGGCCGAAGCTGAAGTTAAACAAATTCTCCCTGACCAAGTTTTTTTTATCCAGATGTTCATTTCAAACTGTATTGATTACTGCTGCTAAAATCCAACAGCTCAGACATTTACATATCTAGCATTATTGTTGATACAAAGTTTATTGACTCCAAAATAAATAAATTTGTTATTGCTCATGTTGGTTTTTCCCCCTGGAATGTAAATCCAAATATATATGACAAGTGCTGACATGTTTTCTAGTCTCAAAGTGGTTTGGGATGAACATGTAAATATACAATGTACTTGTACGAGTACCTAATTGTTTTGTTACCCAGCGTGAATGCAATGTATCCTTTTGTAAACAAGTTAAATGAGAAGTGTTCTTCATGGAATAGTGGTGCTGGCTTCTGTAAATCCTTTCAACTACCAAGTCAGTAAATTGTACAGGTCCTTTTACATTTGCCGGTACTGGGTACCTGTGCTTGCGCCTGCAGCGGCGTCACTAGGGTCAAACTTCTGGGAGGCGCCAGGGGGCACTTCAGTTTTTCAAGGGGACACTAAAGGCAAATGAAACATCATATCAAGATATAATTTTGTTTCAATTCGAGATTTCAAAGGGGGGGAGGCACCCCGGGGGGCACAGACATTCCCTGGTGGGGCACGTGCCCCGTGCGCCCCCCACCCCCACCCCCACCCCAACCTAGTTATGCCACTGGCTTGTGCCCATGTACGTGTACCCATGTACGTGTATTTGTACAGTATAATTTAGCTACTGGCTGCCAGTGACCAACACCTACATGTAAATGTATGCCTTGTCTGGAAATATACATTCCACTGACATTTGGATATGCTCATGCAAATGATGCATACATCTTAGCCATTTTGAGGTATGTTGGACAGATTACGAGGGCGCTATTTAATTCAGGTACATTTGGGTAAATACAAAATAGCCAATCCAAACCCAATAGCCCCGCCTTATTGTGTCCATGATATCTTTAAAAAGCTAATTATTGACTGAACCACTTGCACATGTACATTGCCACTTGGTGTTCACAAAACTAGAAATCATTCATTTTGAGGTTCCTCAGTGATGTTTTTGGTCTTTACTTCTTCCTTGTTTTCTTCCTGCCTGCTTGGTGACGCCTCAGGATGGATTTGCCAAATTCTTTGACGATGACAAAGCAAGGGAGAAAGCGCTAAGCGACACGGTCACCGATATTGTGACGTCCGTGTGCCAATTTGCCGTGTTTGGTGCCGGACTCGCCGCGCTTGCTTGCTTGCTGAAGAGATAGGGAACCAGACCGTGCACATTGATGTGTAGGGTTCAAAGGTCAAGGGTACAGTAACTGTCATTCTTTATTTTATCATTTACTCAAAGTTGCTGTGCCCGTGCTGTTTTTGAGTTTCACCCCAAAAATATAGATTTTTGGTTTTTAAATTGTTATTTTTCTTGCACTACAAAAGATATTTACTTGCAAAATCTGCCTACATTGATTTTATAATTATTTACTTTACAAATTTCAATTTATATGCAGCCTGGCAATAATAACTTTATTATGTGTTATTGGCGCAAAGGCAACCCAAGATACCGTTAAAAGCGTATCTTAGACGGTTGAAAACATCTGAAATAGAAAAATAGTAGTTTCTTCCGCTGAAATAAAACATACATCAGGAGAAAAGGAGCAAATATGTTGAACAGCATGGGTACAACAACTTATATTTTTTGCACTGGCGTGTCGTTGCCACTTTTGAGAACTGTTGATGATGTTCTGTTGCTTGTCCTGATGCTGTATGTAGCCAGTGTTCCAGTCTGCTTGTGAGGGAAAAAAATGCATGTGATATGCCTTTTTTTTCTTGGCATACATGTACATAGTATGCATACGGTACATGTATCTCTGACAAACAACCTGTGACACCTTTATTTTTCAAAGTGTGTTTCGTTTAGCTTCAAGATTATTTACTGCATGTTTTGTTCACTTGTAAATATATGTATGTACATTGTCAACTCCAAGGGTTGGTGTTACCTTGTGTACAGTTGGCCGCATGTACATGTATATTTATATGTACCGGTAAGTGTACCACTATTTGCAAATTCAGCTGTAATGTTGCTGGCAGACTAGAAACAGGTGGCAAATTGTTTCCCAGCTCCTGAAATGTCTGATGCAAGATAATTGTTTCTGATGTGTATCAGTTTACAGAATGGAGTGCGTAGTGAAAGTGAGATTATCATGTTGGTTCCATGAATAGGTGAAAATACCGGTATACTGAAAATGTTTTTTTGTCAGTGAAGAGTACTTCCCCATCTGCAGTAATTCTAAAGTTTTACACAAAACAGTGTTTGTGTTCAGCGCGCAATTAAACTAGTTAGGTAAGGTCTTCTAGACTGGTTCCTGTACCCTCTTTTCAGTGAAAATAGTGAAGGGACTGGGAACCAGCCAATGCATCTGGGCAATTCCACGGTTACTCACGTTACATTTTTGATGTACTTTTGAGTTTCCTTGGGCTGCAATGACCTTACTGAAAAAGTTTAATAACTGTTAGCTCTATGGTAGATAGAGTAGACCTAGACCTACCTACATGTAAGCACCGAAGGTGACATCCAGAAAAATGTGTTATGTATGATAAACAAGACGCAGAAAATCGGTTACTCACGTTACGAAATTGTAATGTGAGTAACCGATTTTGTGCATCTTGGTTATCATACGTAACACATTTTTCTGGATGTCATCTTTGGTGCTTAGGTAGGTCTAGGTCTACTCTATCTACCATGGGGATAACAGTTATTAAACCTTTTCAGTAAGGTAATTGCAGCCCAAGGAAACTCAAAAGTACATCAAAAATGTAACGTGAGTAACCGTGGAATTGCCCAGATGCACTTTCGTGCTTGGGTTTGCGCTTTCGTGCTTATGTCTGCACTTTCAGTTGCGTTTATTTGAAACTTTTTATTTTGGGAAAGAGTGTTGCATGCGCCAGTACGGTAAATTCACTATTGTGTTGGTTTGATTTGCCTGATAGTCAGATGGTACACATTAAACAAATGGGCAAAATGGGTGGGCAGTCAAATATCTCTCTACACATTCATGTGTGTAAGAGAAAGAAAACTTAATTCAATAGATTAAATTGAATATGTCAAAAAAAAAATTATTCAAAGATTGATGATTGAGTGATTTTTATAAATTGAATTAAATATATTTGTGCTGTCCTTAAGGAGAATAAATGTCATGAATTTCACTCATGAATTCCTCTCAAGACTTCACTGTAATTTTTGTTTTTGCACTTTTTCATTGTTGGCAATGTTTGTGATGATTGATTATGAGCAATTCCGTAAAATTCAACGTGCGTCCGTCCACAAGATGCTCATGTACCTTAGTTTGGTCTGTAATTGTTTTCTGCTGTAATTGTTTTTTTGAATCACATTCACTTTTCCAACAGCAGCTCATTAAAATGTCTGACATGTACATCCGAATTTACGGAATTGTCCTTATGTTATATCATTATTTTATGATTTCATGTAACTCTGTTGTTGAGGATTTTGTGAGGAAGGCTTCTGTGTATTTGAGCTTTTCATTGATCCCTTCAAGTTTTTTTTTAACTTCTTGTGAAATTCAGGAAAGAGATGACCTGATATAACTACTAATTTTTTTTGTCTGTCTGTGTGTGTTCTTGCAGGACGGCTTTCTTGACTTCTTCGACAAGAATCGCGTGCGGGAAACGGAGAACGAAATCTTAACTAACGCTATCGGCACTGCGTTAACATACGGGGCTGTGGGCGTCGGGGTCGTCGCAGGACTTGCCATGCTTTTCCGGCGGTGAAACAAAAATGCTTTGTCCATTTGCTGCAAGCTGATAGATATCAGACTTTCATAAACTTGTCGCGGACTTTGACACAGCTCCGCTTTTCTGGTGGTACATAGTGACTTCAGCCAAGTCGTCATGTTGCCCAACTGGAAGAGATTTTCCCCAAGAATGGACGCAGTCAACAGACATCGAGGATTTGAAAGCCGTATTCTTGTACCTTTGTTTCCGCTACACTTGTAAACAGTGTAAATATTTTACTGGTCATCGTTGTCGAGCAAGAGCGGGGAGGAAGGGAATCATCAATGGAGAGTTTAATCCACAAAAAAAGAAGAAAATAACAGGGGAAAAAAAATGAAGGCCTCATTCATTCAGGGGGTATCACAGAGTGACTTTGAATTTCTGTCAGGAGGACAGATAAGAAAGAAAAAAGTTAAATTGTTTATTGCCACCCTGCAGCTGAATTGAGTGTTAAAAAAAAAAAATGCCGTGTATGTCCAGTCCACTGTCTAGCCCTTTGTCGAATCCAGTTCTGTACTTTCCCCCCTCGATTCAATCGTATTTCCTGACTCCTTTTAGAAACGGGACATGTTTGCAAGGATTTGATTTCAGGTTCTTGAAAGGAACGGTTGAATGGCACTGGCAGTTCATTACAACCAACCAAAACTTCTTCTTTTGTCGATGCATTACACACCCACACACTCTTTTCGGAGAAACATGTGTACTTGCTCAGATTGATATCACTGTCATTTCATGCAAAACAAGTGTTCCCTTTTGGTGTTTGACCCTGCCTTGAATCAATCTATTATTGCGGGGGAGGTCTTAAGATGTTTCATATTTCACCTACAGAAATGGCCATGTCTGCCCCTCTTTCTTACCAGCCCTGGCAAATTCCCATGGGTGGTGTATTACTTACACTGAACATCCAACATAATCCCAACTCACTTTTGTGGACTCACTTCTGTCCTAACAAACCCTTATCCCTGTACATTGTACAGGCTGTCTCTTGGGTTTCAAAGTAGAATCAAAAACAGTCTTAGAGCTCCGAGGACAAACATTTCTGAATGCCATAGATTGAAGAAGAAAACAAAAAACAGTTTCAAGAACACGAACAGAACCTTGTACAAAACACCGTCAAATTGCATGATTTGTAACTGCCCAAAAGGACACTAGATTTTACACACTTTTGTTCATCAGTGTCTCATATTTCAACTGTGTACAGTAATAGACTGATGCACTAAGGCCCGCCCTATGATGTTTGGACCAATCACAGTCAGTGATTAATGTCAAACATGCGTGCGCTTGCGTACAGTGTGCGCGTCAGTTACATGCAGTGTAGCAGGGGAGAGACGCACGTGGTGTTGCCCACGTGCAGCAGTGGGTGGTGCTTAATGTATCGTGTCTGTTCCCTTTCTGTTATGCGCACACTGCACATACATTGCACTGGGCAGGGCCCAATTTCTTGGCTCTGCTTACCGTTAGCGAAAAATGCCTGCTTATGGTAAGCGTATTTCACAGGTTAGTGAGGAATTTTGGCTTCTACGTATGCGTACATCCCATAACTAAAGCTTCTGTGCTTACAGGAATTTTTGTGCTAGCGCTGTTAGCACAAACTGATGATCGTAAGCGTGGAATTCTGTGGTTAACAGAGCCATAAAATTGGGCCCAGATCCGAAGACTTCATATCTGAGGGCGCCAAATACATTTCAGGTTGTCCTTTTGCACACAGGCTGCGTCCCACTTACTTGGCTATGGTTAGCAGTAACACACCATCTATGGGAAGTGGCTGCAGTCACTTTCCAAGTACCGTAAGCCGTGTCCGAATTACTTGGCTACGGCTTGGAATTACACACACGTCTATGATAGCGGCTGCAGCCACTTTCCATACACTCGTGTGTAAATTCAAGCCGTAGCCAAGTAATTTGGACACGGCTAATTTGGAGGCAGACTGAGTTCCATTTCAATTTGACGGCATCACATGTGGCTCCGAACTTTGAAATATCCAACGATCAAATATCATGTCACAATGAAGAGACTAGAATGATATCCCTCATGGCATGTGATTATAAGTCCTGGTGCTTTCCTTTACACGTGGCTCAAAATCTGTGATAAACTGGTAGAGTTTATCAAACTTATGCTACGTGCACAGAGTTTGTCGCATATACCTTGTACGTGTTCATTGAATATTTCAGATCCAAGTTTAAGCGAGATTCTTACTAAGCCCTTTTTTTCCTTGAAGTCAGTTCATGTTGGATTTGCAAAATATTTGAGAGAAATGTCCTTGTATTTTTTCAAGTCAAACGGTTCTGAAGGAAAGATTTGGACCATCAGCAAATTTCTCAGAGTTATTGGCATAGAAAAAAAAGCTTTAAAATGCATATTGTTGAATCGTGTGCTCTTTTAATTGCATCTAATGCATTTTGCCTGGATGTCAGCAAGTTTCTGTGAAGCGCATTCATTTCCAGGTCTCAACAAAGACAGCCTTTTTAGCTGCCTATTTTCCTCTTTTTCAAATTGAACATGTCTATTTACCTAACACACTTGAAACAGATTTACTGCATTTGATCGACCCGAGAACTCATTCAGTTAATGTTTCTTGGAGAAGTTGCTGACAAGTATTTCTTTACATCATTTGGCATTACCCTACATGGAGAAATTCATCAGCTACAGCTTAAAGAAGCATGTAGCTCTTGCAGGATCCTGTAACTAACCCAAATGAGCCTATAGATAGCAGAACAGGTTTTCCGCAAACTATCTGGGACATTTAATGAAATAACGCCCAAATTGGCTAGAATTCGGTTTATATTTTTCCCCCCTACCATTAAAATTCCTCTATGTGGAAACAGTTCTGTAGGCTCTTACATTGTCCATTCTATCCCTTAATACTCATTTGCCCGATTTGTAAGATATTACATGTATGTTAATAATGCCAGGAGATCATTTTTTGTATATATAAAAAAATATATATTATATAGCTTTTATGAGTTTTCCCTTTTTTAAGTACTATAAACCTTCAGTATTTTTTAAAAAGATGTTCATTTCCTCTCGCCTAAGACACTGATCCTTTTTTTCCCTCAAATCATTTTTGGATTGTTAGATCAGTTCTCGGCAGTCTATTAGCGGAAGAAACTCCTTCAGAAATTTAAAAGTCTCCTGTTCACTTCAAAAGTTGATCTAACTTTTTTTTTTGTAATTTATAACTGGCAAATCGCTCTCCATTTTGGTTTTTGTACAAAGATTGTAATAAGGTTATTTAGACATGTAGCTGAACAGTCAGTAGAAAGTAGCAAACAGTCTGGTAACCACAGGCTGACCAATAGACCTCTTGCGTAGAGCGCCCTCACTGGGTACAGCTTTCGTTATTTCAATTCACTGACATTGAAAGTACACGTACCTGTACAAAGTGTCAACCTATGAGGGCACTTTATGCAAGGTGTCTGTTCAGCTTCTAGCTCTCAACACATGAATATGTTGTGTTTCAGTTTAAGGTATCTACTCTGTAAGGCTGTATCCAGTGCCATTTATCAAACCTTGGATATTTCTTGAGCTTTGGCTCAGTCTTCTGCTCCATGAATTTTAGCCGCATGCTGTGGCAAAGTATGACTCGTGCGAAGGCCCTATTATGAGTCTATTCTCAGCTAACGTAGAATTGTTCATTACCCTGTAAAAGAAAACTAAATTTTGGAATCATTTCATTTGTTTGAAAAGTTTTAGGGTTCCAAGCTGACTGGTGTTGCCAAAGTCAGAGAGAAACAAAACGAGTTTGGGAATTGGTTCCTAGTAATTGGAGATGAAGTCTAGTTCCTGGACTGTTCCACATACCAAACTGTGATAGCTCATCAATGTAATTACCATTCATTGCACCAGGTACAGTTGTACTGTTGGGCTGTATAAGTAGGCCATAGTGGCCCTGAATGTCTTCATACCAAAAACATGCGTATATTTGGAAACCAGTCTCACTGATGGAAACTGCCTGTGTCTCAGCTGTGTGATGGACTGCACATGACACACCTAAAGATTGAACTAAATTTGCTAAATTGCTTCAATAAATGTAAAATTTCTACTCTTAACACTAAAAAAAGAACAGCGCCCTCGTTGGCACTTTGGCATTGTGAATGTGAAGCCATGCCTATGTCTACGAGAATATTTCCAGATATTTACTATCATCAAACCGTATCAAAATCTTATTCAACCAACAGGCATAGCTTGAGCTCCTTTGACACAGGAGTCTTGATAGTTTGTGTTTTGGTTTTGAAATTTGATATTTTTTTTGTTTTATATCTTAGTAAAGTAAGCAGATGGATGTTATATTGAGATGTGTTTCTTTGGAAATATAATCACCAATACATATAATGTTTTTCATTTCACATTAGTTTGCAAGCTCTGAAATGTTTCCGCTTGCTTCACTTTTTGTTTTTATAATTTTGGTCATATAAGTATACTGCATTATATTTTGTACAAAATACATCAAACTTTAAATCAATCTAATGTGTAGTTAAACAATTATACAAATCATTTACTTTTTTCCCAAAGTTTGGGAATCATTGATGTATCTTCAACTGTCATTGATATTTGTTATTGTCAGTTCCAGTTTTTGAAAAGTCGGCATAACTTGTGACGCAAGATCAAACTTGTTCCCATTATGAATTCTCTATACTTCTGGGTTTGTAAAGGACAAAGAATGAATGCATTGGCAGAAAAAAAGTTAAATGTGCTGTTTTCTGACTTTTTCGGTAATATCCACAAGGCATTCCAATATCGTATTTTGACCCCAAAACCCTGACATGTACTTGGAAAATGGACAATTTCTCTTGAGTGTTCAAGGCATGCAAAAAAACTACCACCACCAATAAGTGTAACTTTGTTTTAGTACCCATTGAATCAATCCTTTCCAACTCTTGGCTTAATAAGAGGTGAACGTGAATTTTTTTGGGGGGCCACATCAATTATACAAAGGCAACAATGCTCGCAATATGGTAACCAAATGGATTTGTTTTTATGTTATGTTAAAAACTGTAACTTTCCTTCCCACAAATTAATTTGTAGAGTCATATGAATATGAGTGGAAACATTTGTGCCAGTAATGGTAGATTTTGAAGGGGGGGGGGGGAGGGCAGATTGTGCTTTCAAAATCTATCAAATTATCAAAGTCCGTCATCTAATCTGTTAGCAGATCTGATCAGAAACACTAAACATGATCGCCACATAACGTTGTCTGGATTTGGCCATTCTTGACTTGCAGCCAATTTGCACCAACTAGCTTGTTAAGCAGATGAAAATAAAGAAAGACACAGAAAGCAGTCAGCCAAAATCACTCATTATAGCATCTGCTGCATGTATAGACTTTTTGCCTAGAGCGCCCTCATGGAGGACAGTTATTTTTTTCACTGACTATGGAAGTACAAAGTGTCCTCTCAATCAAATCCTCTTTGAGGGCGCTTTTTGCAAAGGGTCTACTGCCTGTGGAGCTTTAGCTTGTGTACTTTTTTTCTTTTGACATAGAGGTCAGTTCTTATGGACACAAATTGGAAAAGCTTGTTCTTTTTTCAGTAGTTAGTACTTGCTGCTAGCCTGAGTACGGTAGTTAAAAAAAAAAAGAGAGACAATTGTATTAGGCTGATCATGAAAAGATTGGCAGCTGTAAAGTATTGAAGAGAGAATAGGCATTGTCACATTCTATCAACAAGACTTGAACACGCATTTTGGCAACAATTTAAACTAAATGCATCACTGCCATTTTTTTCTCTTGAATTATTGATGTGTACATGTAAAAGATTTCCCCCAAAATTACTGAAATTGGTTTCACTGAAACCGGCCTATTCTAGAATTTATTTCGAGGAGTTGAGGAGATATTGTACATTGTATGAGCATTCCATTCTGAGTGTACTTTATATAGAATGGAATAGTGGGAGTGTAAATAGTGGTCAAAGATTGAGTTCATTGTATTTAAATCTGTTTAAAAAATAAAGTCATATTTTTTTTTCTTTTTTAATCATCATAGCAGGCTGAGCGTACAGACTCGCTAACTGGCATAGAGCACATTATGTTAGTTGCATTTCACTGTTCAGTATACAAGTATGTTGTATTTATAGAGCCATATTGAATTACTAGAGACCTAAAACGCTGTGCAAAGCCTGCTGGATCCATGTTTGTGCACAAACCTATGGAAAGCTTGAAATATGTACGGCTTTTGTATGACAATTTGCAATTGAAACTGATGTATGTATGTGGAGCTCATATGCCAAAAACAACAATGCACAATCACATAATTAGCGTTTCATTTTGCTCTGAACATACAACCATGGATCTTCTAGATCCGTGATACAACACACGCGGGCGCGTATGCGCTCCAAAAGTTTTTTTTTTCCTTGACATTGATGAAACCGGGCCTATGTTGTCACGTTTTTTTGTAATCTCGATTTGCATTTAGAACTCACAAGTGAAATTCCATGTTTTCAATATGTTTTAACAATCACACACATGCGTTTGAAATGTGTGCGCAAAGGACGCATCCAAAAATATTCCACGCGAGGGAACGGGGAGTTAGCGCTCTAGTAATTCAATATAGCTCTATGGTTGTATCTCGCTGGTAAATACTGTTGGAACTCACCTAAACAGATTTGTAAAGGAGTGGGCATGCCTTAGTAAGCACCACGCTTAATTTGTCCAAACTGCACAAACTTTGATTCTTCAGTGCAACTATACCGTGCAGTTGGGCTTTAAAAACAGTAATTACAAGATGAAAGATGTGTTTTGGTTATTTTTATTATGTCAACATTTTATAACTGTATAAAAATGCGTTCAGTCTTGCGTATATGATTCCTGAGCTGCTTGTGTTGTGCTTTTGTTGCATAATTGGTGTGCCCATGTTGCTGTTTTTGTTGTTGCAACGTTCTGAGTGTTTCTTGGCGGAAAATTTCAGCTCATTTGTGTTAAAACCTTGATTTAATTGGGCAGTTGGTGAATCAGTGGGGTGCAGGAAAGAGTGGGGGGGGATGAGAATTGGGGGTTGGGAATAGATGTTTAGGGCTAGCTA